ACCTCCTCCCGAGAGAAGAAGAAGATAGAGGGAGGAGGCAGGGGGGGCTTCCCCCTCCTTCCTCCTCCTCTCCCCCTCTCTCCTCTCCTCCTTCCTCGCCCCCTCTCTCCTCTCCCTCCTCTCCTCCTCCCTCCACTCCTCCACCTCCTCCCGAGAGAAGAAGAAGATAGAGGGAGGAGGCAGGGGGGGCTTCCCCCTCCTTCCTCCTCTCCCCCTCTCTCCTCTCCTCCTTCCTCGCCCCCTCTCTCCTCTCCCCCTCTCTCCTCCTTCCTCCTCCTCGCCCCCTCTCTCATCTCCTCTCCTCTCCTCTCCTCTCTCCTCTTCGCTCCCGGCAGAGAGAGAACGAGAGGAACGAGAGAGAGAGGGACAAGGGAGAAGAGACAGAGAGCGAGAAGAGAGAGAGAGAGAACGAGAGGGGAGAGAGGGAGAAGAGAGGAGAGAGGGGGAAGGCGAAGAAGAGAGATGATAGGAGAGAGAGAGACGAGAGGGAAGAGAGGAAGAAGGCGAAGAAGAGAGATGAGAAAGGGACGAGAGGGGAGAGAGGGAGAAGGCGAAGAAGAGAGATGAGAGAGGGACGAGAGGGGAGAGAGGGAGAGAGAAACAGACAAACGAGAGGGGAGAGGGGAGAAGGCGAAGAAGAGAGATGAGGGGAGAGAGGGAGAAGGGGAAGAAGAGAGATGAGGAGAGAGAGGAAGAGAGAGAGAGAACGAGAGGGGAGAGAGGGAGAAGAGAGGAAGAAGGCGAAGAAGAGAGATGAGAGGAGACAGAGAGAGTGAGAGGAAGAAGGCGAAGAAGAGAGATGAGAGGAGACAGAGAGAGAGAGAGAGAGAGAGAGGGACGAGAGGGGAGAGAGGAAGAAGGCGAAGAAGAGAGAAAGAGAGAGAGAGAGCGAGGCAGATAGAGAGAGAACGAGAGGGGTAGAGAGGGGCAGAGAGAAAGGCAAGGAGAATACAAAAGTGACTTACCTCTCCCAGCAGGTTGGCGAGGATGCGGAGCAGCTCCAGGCGATGGCTCCAGGCGATGACTCCTTACCCGACCTGCATGCAACGACGTCATTAATCGCTTATCGATAGTACAAACAGTCAATGTTACTTACAAGATCTGACATATTGTTTGTTGTTTGTTGTTTGTTACGTATGATGTAGTATAATCAATAAATGATTACATGTTGTATTGAAATCACACTTGTCCGACTCTCTGAATATGATGTACATGTGTCAATAAACAACAGCGAGAGGGAAGAGAGAGGGGAGAGAGCCTAGGGTAGAGAGGGAGAAGGCGAAGAAGAGAGACGAGGGGCAGAGAGGCAGAGTGTGAACGAGAGAAAGGCAAGGAGAATGATGTACATGTGTCAATAAACAACAGCTAACTTCACTTAAATTCATCATTCTCTCTCTACCTACGCGGCACAGCATTTCACATTAGCACTGCCACTGGGTAAACAAGCACGGTTGTCGCAACAAGTTCTCGCTCGCAAAGCTATCGACTCTACAAAATGTAATTAGAGCTATAGCACTGCCACTGCGTAAACAAGCACGGTTGTCGCAACAAGTTCTCGCTCGCAAAGCTATCGACTCTACAAAATGTAATTAGAGCTATCATAATCTTGAGATGTGCATTTTTGAGCGGTGTTACACGCATACGTATACAGGTATACAGTTATACAGAGACTACTCGGCCAGCACTTGCTCGTGCACATACAGTGCGCACAAACACACACACACAGAGTTCGAGAAGGTGAGACTCACCGCAGCACGAGGTACTCGGCCAGCCGCTGACATAGGTAGCTCTTGCATGTGCCGCTGGGGCCACACAGAGTGATGCGGCGATGCTCAAGCGGCATGGACGTGTAGCGCTACATGATCGACTTGGGGATGAGCGTCGAGACGTAGGCAAGAGCATCCACGCAGTGCTGCTGCGCATCTGAAACAAGCAAACAGCACTCGCTCAATACTATTTTCTGTTTCTGTTGTAGTACGTTGCAGTATCCAAAATTGGCATCGAGAGGCAACGGAAATTACTATTGATGATGTTAAATGATATTGTTACTACTCAATAACCATCGATGATTAAACTAGAATGAAAAAAAGCAGATAAACTACGCTGACGTTACGTATGCGTCGCAACTATGCGTGTGCGTACGCGCAGTTTGTGTGGCGTGTGTGCGTACGTGGGTGTGAGTGCGTGCGTGCGTGCGTCCACGCGTGTGTGCTCTTACCCCTGATGCTCAGCTTGATCTGCATGTTGTCTGCGACCAGGTAGCCGCAGGGCAGCAGGTCGGGGGGCGGTGTCGGCGTCCTGGCATCGCACGACGTCACCGATGCTGTAGCTGTGCACCGCGTCCGCGCTCAGACCCAGATTAGAGACGGCATCCACGCGCAGCACGTACTCCTGCCAAGAGACAATAATCACATTTAATAAAATAATAAAATAACAAAAATGTCCACGACTGTATAGAGATATATGTACATGTGAGTTTCGTGCTATAGTTAATGCAGGAAATGAGCGACTCGACTCACTCACTCTTTCTCCTCTCTCTCCACACACACAATTACCTTGAATATCCTCCTCACTATATTGTCGAGCAGTTCTCACTTGGTCTTGCCGCTAACGAAGATGGATCCAATCAGAATGTCTGCTTGTTTGTCCGCCTGCAGGGACAGATGCAAACCGATTACACATCATGGTGATTCGCAATGCTTGCAAGAACATCATACACAAAATTGCTACGAGCAAACGTACTGCAAAATTTGCAACGATGCCATCTAAGAAACAATTACGCTAAAAAATATATTCTGCGGAAGAGGAGAAAGATTGAACACACCACAACATGTGAAATGACAATAAAAACAAAATTGCTACGATCAAACATTCTCAAAAATTCGCAATAATGCCACATATAAAGCAGTTACAGTTGAACATAATTATACTGACAAATTCAAACTGACACCAAAAATATTAATCCGTGTATGACCACAAATAAATCTGTAACTCCGAAGACTTCGAATGCTACAGCAATAAAGAGAGGGGTGGGAGAGCAAAGGAGAAAGAAAGGGAGCAGATAAGATTGAGAGAGAGAAGGTGAGAGGGGTAGGAGGGGTGAGTAGAGAGCAGGAGTGGAGTGAAAGGGAGGGAGCGAGAGACGATGCACTTACATGCTGCACCACTTGCTTGAGTGCCGTGTTGCCGCATTGTATAGACACTGACACCCGATATCCCGCCCTTCCTCCTTCTCAGGCAGCCATCTCCTATAGACAAATTCTGCCGAGCGAACAAACGAAAGAAGATTAGAACAAGAGCCGGCAGAGCAACTGGAGCTTATCGTGAGGTCTGTTTGCTATGGTTTATAAAGCGTAACATTTCAGTCGTGCGTAGTGACAACGCTTTGTTAGGCGCAGATATGCAGATACGCAGTTGCGCTACACATCATTCAGGCAAACATTTGTTTTATTGCAAGAAGATGAAGAGAGAGGGGGCGAGAAGAGAGAAAGAGAGAGCGAGAGAGGAGAGAGTCAGTCAGAACTAAATTGTTTAATAAACAAATAACACGCACAGCGGCGGCGCTACTGTAATCAGTTATGTTATCGATTGAATTGTACATTCCGATTTGCCCTGCGCGGCGTCCAAGACTTTCGACGAAAGATGGGCGGGCCAGAGGTAAGGCAGACGCACGTATAACGTACAGACTTTCTTCAATGTCGTGAGACTCAACACATTTCGAGCTGACAGTCCAACCAATCGGCTCTGCAGCGTCCACACAGCAGCATGCTCCAGCCATAGGTCCCACATCGCAACACATACTGTAACGTCGAGCGGAGAGAGCCCATGCCAGGGACAGTAGCAAAACTGGCACATTTTCATTGTCAGGTTTGACGATTCATTTCTGCAATTCCTTATCTCAAGATTGGTAAACTGGAAGTTAAAAGTGATTACGTCACAAATTTCTAGACCATCAAGTAGTACATTTGTGTGTATTTGTAACAAAATAAAGATGTATGAAAATACAATTAGTGTATTCCTGTTTACTTTTATGCTTATAAAAAATAAATATACCGCTTCTTTATATGCCCTAAAATTTGCCAGGTGAATAAACAGAGAGACGCCAGTATGCTGAACAGTAGCTGGGGATAGTGTTAGAGAACAGAAATTACGCAAATCGTTCTAGATTTTTGCAAATTAACCAACGGTAAAAACATTTTTATTCAGGTTGAGAGTTTGAGGATATATTTAGTACGCTAGCTTCTTACTTTAATGTAAAAAAATGGGGGCAATTTTTTTTTAGACAAATTTTACGGCATAAGAAAATATTGTGACGTAGTCCCTATTAAGAACAGTAATTATTTCTGCAGCTTTTAGCGAGCAATATAACATTTGACCTATCCTGCCGGGACATTCTTCTGGCACTCTGTTTCGGCGATAGACATGGCGTGCAGGAATAGATAATCCGAACTAGACATGGGCAGCCGGATCTGCGCGGCAAAGCGCCGAAAAACGCCGCGTAGCGGCACACTAACAAGCGAACAAACGCTGCACTCATTGAATAGCAAATTTTAAACGAGGTTACTATAATAAAGTATAGCAGGAGGTTCGCTGAGTTGAGCAGTTCTGGGCGATTGCACAGACGGGTTTTACTCATGGTCCGCATTCTAGGCCATGTCCTGCAGAAAATGTCTGATATCTGACCTTTCGCGCGACGCACTGCTCTTGACGCTGTGAACGCTGCGCAATTTTGCACGTGGTGATGAGTTTCCTGCCATCAGACTATGCACGCCAAATATTGAAGAGCATAGTCAAGCGCCGTTCAGATTTGGTGCCCGGCAATTCCGTATTTTCTCACATAATACCTTAAGATTAAGGGGAAATATTCGCCCGCTCCGTTGACAGATCATTGACCTTTGAGCCCCTCGCAATTGGTCATCCGCAGTCCTTTTTCAATGACCCTGCCCCGACGTTCTCCGAATATCAGTGACCGGTACGTGCGAGCAGTTAAGATTTGTAGCACAGGCACTGTTGACGCACCCGGAAACCGCACGCGTCTATGCCGATCTACAAGCTGCATCTGACTTCGTCAGATGAGACTAAAAAATTGTAATCGATTCACGCTGTCTCTTATTCAGGCTCATCGTCTGTTTCATAATTGAGATTTGGTAAGTCAACAGAATTAAATTTGATGTAGTTAATTGTGGAAGTGTGTGTTTTGCTGTATTTAACACCTAACAGCCGAAGAAAGACACGAGGAGAAGCATCGTTCTTCCTGCCCCACACTTTCCGTTCGAGCATCATGACAACAACAGATATCTCGATCTCCCGCACCGGTTGGCGCCAACGTACCTTCCGTTGCAGATATGTCAGCAAGAGGCTTGAGTCGGTGGTCGACGGAGTCGAAACTGTGTCAGTTTGTTGAGAGGGCGACAATCTGTGAGAGCCTGCGATGGAGACCTAGCGCGGCTAACATCGCCTTCTGCCAGGCTTGTTGTTCTCATGCTTCAAGGTTCATGCATCTTCATCCTGAGAGCCAGATACACCACTGCACGAATGCGTTAGCAATATTATTATAATATATTATACCACTATATATTAAATAATAATATATATATATATATAGACTACAGACACACACATGACATATAATACTAATATATCAGTCGTTGTCTCCTGAACACGGAACTGCACGTGGCTAAATTTGCCTCTCCTACCCAGAAAAAAATCGAGTTGGGTATGCCTCTGTATACTATATTACATACACATATTAATTCAAATGCTTATAGTATTGACTCAACTCTCAAAAACAGACGGGCAACAAATATGCAATACCATTAAGCTGTAACCGTTGGTTTTAAACGGCTTTAAACGTTACTGTGTTAGGTTATTGGCAGTAAGAATGCTTGATGTAAGGCCAAAATACATAGATTAAGAATAGAAGTCCAGATGTTTACGGCATGATTCGTATTTACCGAAAGATCAGAAACAGTAGCAGTGTTACATGCAAAATGTAGTCACAGTCGCTTCTGTTGTCGAGAGCGCTCCTCTATCTCCTTCCTCGTCCGATGCCTTACGTTCGACGAAGGAGGCAGCAGTTAGGTTAGGGTTAGGTGTAGACGACTAGTGGGAACTTAATGCCTAAAATGTATGGGCCACAGGCCATACATATATAGAGAACACTGTCTGTTGCCAGTTGAGCTTACTGAATTATATAACTGGAGCACAAAACCATGGCAGAATGCAGCTTCTAACGCAAGATTCCATATGGATAAGCCTACCGTTGCCATGTTTCTTTGTTCTTTATACACAACTGTGTAACTGTATAACTATGTTTAAGCCTACATACGTAGGATAGATATCCTCTGCTCAGCCACAACA